TTTCTGGTTTTCTAGATCTGGCTTTCTCTCTGTCTCTCTGTCTCCTGCTGTATTTTATCCCTGCGTCTCTGTCTCTCTTTGCCCCACACCCCAAGTCAGTCACCGTGTCCTGTCTTCCTCACCTTCCCATTCAAGACACGTAACGGCATGGGCAAAGGCCCCTCTCTTGGGTACATGCTCAGCTCCTGTCCCACTGCCCCCTTCTTGCACCCTCAGCCCCGCTCAGCCCACAGGGAGCTCAATCACCCAGCTCCTCACCCCTGGGGCCGAGTGAAGCTCAGGGACCCTTAGGAGGGTGCCCTCTTTGAGGTCTCTGAGCTCTGCCCCTGGTCTGTAAAAAGGGACCCGGAGCAGGAGCCGCAGGTGTCCTTCCTAGGGGACCCCCTGCTTGCACTCCTGTTGATTGGGAAGGGTGGAGCAGTGATGGCGCAGAGGCAGGGGCCAGGCAGGGAGGAAGGACGGAGAGGGACACAGACAGAGGCTGAGAAAGGGGCACGCACGGAGGGATCAGTCTGGCGGAAGGAAGAAAAGGAGAGGCAGAGTGGGGAGAGAAGGGTTGGAGGGGGATCTGAGGGGCTGATTGGTGTCTAGCCTGGCCTGGCCCGCAGATCCCGCTCTGGGTCCCCTCACCAGGGACAGAGCTCAGAGAGGAGGGCAGTCATCCAAAGTTTGTCCTCCATCCTCTCCTCCTGGGTGGGGATGGGGTGACTCTCCCTGTCTCCATTCTCCTGATTCTGTTTCTCTTCCTCCCCTTCTCCCCCATCTGACTGTCTCTGTCTCTCTTGTCCCCTCTCCCTCAGAGTACCCACTTTCTTCCTCCTTAAGCCTCAGGAGGACCAGAGCTTCACCCTTGGGCCAGAGGGTGATGAGCTCAGCTGGGGCCCACCAGCAGTGAACTGATTGCTAGAAGGCTCTAGCCCCGAAAGCTGTGGCCAGGCTCTGGCTTCCAGGACCCTTGAGTGGGTCCAGGATGAGGACATCATTGTATATTCCTTACTGAGAACTGAGGCAGGAGGGGGAGATTCGGGGGCGGGGCTCAGAAAGAAACGCGGTGGGGGGGATCAAGGAAGGGGCTCAGAGTGGGGAGAAGGACTCAGGGGGGCATGGGGTATAGGGTGAGGGGTGCAGGGGAGAGGACTAGGAAAGGAAGCTCGAGAGCTGGAGGAAGGTCTTGGTGGGGAAGGGGGACTCAGGAAGGCAGAGAAGCGATGTCATCAGGGGAGGGGCTCAGAGGAGGAGAGGCCTCAAAGGGAGGGAGGGGTCTCAGGGCAGGAACCAAGTCTAGGTCCTTCTGTCTTTCCCCCTCAGTAAACGGTCCCAGTCACTGTCGCCTTCACCACCCAGGCACTGTCGCCTTCACCACCGTAGTCATCACGTCTCTGCCCGGCCACTCCCTCCCAACCCCCCTCGCTGCAGTATCGGGGTCAGCGGGGCGGAAGCGCCACCCCTCCCCGCGAGCTCCTGGTCACACGCACAAGGCTATTTATAAAGCGAGCACAGAGGGCGTGGGCGACGAGACAGCTGGGAGTGACGGCTGGGGGAGGTGCACACTGCTGGCCCCTCTGACAGGAGGCTGGGGAGACACCGTGTCACGACGGTCAGCAGCCTGCGCGGCCCTTGGGGACCCCATCAGCCCTGACTGATTAATGTGGTTACACAGGCAGATGCTGGCCAGGGCAGAACCCGGGAAGGTAGGCACAGGGGCTCAGGCTTCAGGACTTCCATAGGCGCCGCCAGGCTCTGCATCTAGGAAATGGAGCGAAGTAGGGCCTTCTCCCCTTCCTCCTCCCCTCTTTCTCCCTCCTCCTCCTGCTCCCCTTTCTTTTTAGTCATTATTAGAATCGGCATTATTATACTGCCATTGCTACTGTTTTTATTATTACTCTCACCAGCATCATTACTATTTGTATTATTTGGTTGGATTCTAAGTGTGCCCCTGGTCTGGACAACCCTGGAATTGAGGGGCACCTCCTCCTTGACTTGCCAGGCCTGGGGTGGGGGCGGGGGAAGCGTTGGACCCCAACCATCAAGGGAAGCATCAGGAAGCTCCCTTCAGAACATGCTCACTGGGTGTTGGCAAACACTACAAGATGGGGTAGGAGGGAAGGGAGGCATAAAGGATTCAGAAATTGATCTTGAGATATTTGGCGGTTTTATGCGTGATGCCAACGGCCTATATGAGTTTTGTGATAAGGGCACTGGCCCCACTGGCTTTCATCTGGGAGAGAGGACTCCTACCTTCCATTAACGGAAATAAGCCAGAGCCCAGGTAGGGATTTCAGTGTAAAAAAACAAACACACCAAGAACCTCGACAGAGATTTCTGTGTTTTTTACCCACTGCCACTTAGAACTAGGCCTGACATATAGTAGGTGCTCATCAAATAGTGTTCAATGAAACAATGACATAATTTCCTCCTCCAGCAGCCCTGTGGTGAGATCTGCCCCCTGGGCGCCGTCCGCGGTGTGGCACGCTCGGTCCCTGCTCTGTCCAGGGTGCTGAACCCCTTTCCCTGGTTTACCTCCAATGAACTTGGCACGCCTTTTTACCTCCTGTGTACTACTGAGCCCTCCTCAGGCCTGAGAACGCAGTGAGCTCTCAGGAAACGTCCTACACCCACGGACCTCCTTCCCGAAGGCTTTTAGTCCCCATTAATAAAAACACCATCATTGATTTTTCCTGTCATTGGCTCACACTTACGGAACTTTTCCACAGGCCAGGCAGCATGCCAAGGGCTCTGTGTGCCTCATCTCACTGGAGAGTTCTAGCAAACCTAGGCAGTGGGTGCGATTAGTGTGCCCATTCTACAGATGGGCGCGCTGAGGAATGAAGAGGATACAGGACTTGCCAGGAAGCAGTGGATTTAAGGGTTCAAACCTAGGCCTGTTGGACTAGGGATGTCCCGGTTGGCACTCACAGAGTAAGCCCATTGTATGTGGGAGGAAAGTGAGGCACGGGTTAGGAGAGGGACTAAGACTGCAGCCCTGAAGATGAATCAGAGCCAACCCTGGAGGGCATCCTATGATTATAGTGAGAGCAAAGACTCAGAGGCAACCTCCCCTGGCTAGGTGGTCATCAGAAATAGGGCAGCCAGGGGAAGAGGGGTTTGTGAGGGCTTCCTGGGAGAGAAGCAGAGGGAGAGGCCACAATGAATGGGGGAGATAATGACATGTCTCTTTATTGCGTGAGTGAAGGAAGACGGTGATCCCAGGACAGACTCTCACCCCATGAAAGGGAGGGTTAGTCTTCTTCCAAGAAGAGGTTCAACCTTCACCCTGAATTCCCAGTAGGCTGTGGAGTCAGACAGCTACATCTCTAACTCTGTGGCACTAAGCAAGTTGTCGAACCTCCCTGAGACTCAGTTTTCCTTATCTGTAAAATGGATGTCTGTAAGGATTAAAGAGGGCAATGGGCATAAAAGTCCTCAGCACCGTACTTACAGAATGCCGGATAAACGGGGCTTATTGTTGATATTATTAGTTTTGAGGCAAACTCACCCATGTACACATTTGCTAAT